CAAAAGTATATGTCATGTATATGATACATTTTGAGGTACATTCATTTCGATTAAGGTATGATAAAAAATGGTATTCGCACAACGGGAAGAAAGTATGACGTCGCAACCCGCGACAATACCACGTAGGTTGCAATGTCATACTTTCCTCCCTCGGTGCGTTATATACTATTTACTTAATGCATATGAAAGTACATACGGTACTTATAAATAAAAAAAAACAATTTTTAAAATTTTTGTCTGTCTGTCTGTTTGATCCGGCTATTCTGCGAAACGGATGGACCGATTTTGACGGCACTATCACTGGCAGATAGCTGATGTTATAAGGAGTAACAGCTATTTCTTCAAAATGAAATGTAGGAGTAATTTAGGCTACTTTTAGTTTAGAAAAAGAATTAGGGTTCCGTGCAAAATGTTTAAAACCTATGAAATTCAATCGTAATAAATTTCATTCGGAAGAAGTCACGGGGAACATTCTTTATAAAAATTAAGGTACTGCAGTTATATTGTTAAGACGTTTGCACATTTTCAAATTGTTCGGACGTCTGGATATGGGTGAACACTGAATTAAAAACGTAATGTCCGTACATAGATACATGCGAGTAAAGCCGAGCGAGTAAGCCAAAAAAGGGTGTAAAATAGCTCAAATCAAAATATTTTTTAATTAGTTATATAACTTCGTATATACATTAATGTATATAGGCTTAAAACCTAAGGTATTATCTACCTTAGAATAGTTCAGAGATAAATGAGGTACGTATAAAACAAGTACAGAAAGTAAAATAAAATACAACTTTTCTTAAATTTTAAATTATTTAGTAAAGTTTAATACTATGTTTATTTTTTAATGTAAAGAAAGTGCAACAGACTTCCAAAACAAATGAATAAAATAATTTCCACATAATAGCTTCTGCAGTGCAAGTATAAAATAAATCGGCGTTATATTGGGATGTCGCGATCTACAGGATATTATAATCGTGCTTGAGTGCTGTCAGACCATAAGAGAATAAATGTAATCTTAATTATTACTTCCTACTTATATAAGCTGATTTAGACAATATAGAAATATGAAATATTATATAAATAATGTGATTACTAGTGTTTGTTGGTGTTGTTAGCCTCCCCCCACTCAATTTCTATGAAATAAGCACGACAAACGAGCACAATGTCTTACCTGATGGTAGGTAGATGCAGTGGTCCATTGACATCTACATCTAACCACGATTAGGAATGACAATTTAGATGCGTTGTCACCCCTAAAGACTAAGATAAAGTGCCTCATTTTCAGTGAAAAGGGTCTCCGGTTCTCCACACTCCACTAAAAAAAACAGTACAGGAGCATTACGTTGCTATTTTACGGTGGTATTCTGTGATTGCATAACACATACATACACAGGGTATATTGCCATATGGATTTGAGAGATGGTGCTTCACGGATAGCCATATAAGAAAGCTCAAAGTCGTTCAGCAAACGATGGAGAGGGTCTATGTTCGGAATTTATTCGAATGATAGATTTAGAAATGAGGATATTCGCAGTATGAACAAGGTAACTGACAAAACCCAACGGAATAGTAACTGAAGTGTCAATGGTTCGGTCGTCATATAGCTCAAAGAAGCAAAAACCAAAGACAAAATTCCCGAGTGGTTGTTTCGTAACGGTAAGGGAAGTTTAGGGGAGACGCCACTAGATGGAGTGACGACCTGGTAAGAGTAATAGAAAGTTGATGGATGCAGGTGGCTCAGGAACCAGATTTGTGGCATTCCTTGGGGAAGATCCATTCATCGATGGACTTGTGAAAGGCTGTAATAATAGTAATAGTTTTGTTAGAGCGTGGCCCTTCCCTGAACAGGCCGACCCATTCATGCTACAATTATAATACACCATGTACAATGTCTGCTGGACAGTTCTTTTTTAAAATTCACGCATTTTTCAGAAACGCTCGCTTACTTTTTTGATAAAGTCGTCCTTACACACCATGCTTAAAGCTGCTTTATGAGCACAATGCCAGTACTTTTACACTGGTAACACTGGCATAATAATACATCCAATTTGTCATAGTTGCTACTCTTGGTAAGTGGATTGGCAGCCGCAGTTTCTTTTTCTTTGAGTTGCTATCAGCAAGATGCTGCTGCCCATCTCCTGTTCCATTTGCCCTCTGTAGCCTCTTACAACACCCTCGGGACGATATGGGGTAGTAGATATTATTATACCGCCACTACACGGTTAAGATATGCATTCAACAATTATGTTATTTCATTCCGTCCCAATCTGCTGACCTACAATGTCAAACACGGCGGCAACCTGCAGTACGCAACCGCGATGAGAGCTTGAGTGGCACCGTACTCCGGATCAGACAATTGTCCGAGGAGCCAAGAGGGGCATCGACGGATACCTGATATCTGTCCGGATGAGAGGTCAACAGAAGGTCTAACAGGGAAGGTGCATGGTGTTCCACATCTGGGATCCGCGTAGGCGAGGTAACCAGTTGTGTCAGAACATATGCCAAAGAAAAGTCATAAACGGATTTACCCGCTTGATCGGTTAAATAATTATAGAAAAATAGAGACCCATAATAAGTTATGCTCAAATTTCATATTATATTTTAATACCTTGATGTCATGGTAAATGATCCTAGTTGTTTGAGTTCAAAGTAATCGTACCGACTGGGTTTTTTCGTCGAATAGGTGTAATAATACGTTTGTGGAAACCGCATAATATGTAATATCATGTGTTAATAAGCTTGCCCATGTAATACGATAGTCTTGGTTTAAAGTTTAAGTTTCCGGTAAACACATTTTTGTAGACACTCGCATAAGTATTACAAATATATTGAGAACATAGCTACTGTATACGACCAAAGCTTTCTCCTACTGTCAGTCGCCTGTTCTAAATGGTGCTATTTTGTATATTAGTCGTGTAACAGATAACAAGTACTAATTATATTTCGTGCCTCTCTATCTCTCATCCGAACGGATATGAGCTCCCTGTCGATGGTCCTCTTGGTTGCTCGGACCATTGTCTGATCCGGAGTACGGTGCCAGCGCAGTTGCTTTTTTTAGTTGCGGCTGTGTTTGGCACTATAGGTTAGCCGATTGGAACGGGTTGCGATCTTTTTTAACATGCTGGCCTTGGGCGGGTTTGCTTCTCGCCGGATGATCTCTGCGTTATTGCTGATTCTGTCGATGATGTGGTGCTACAGGGAATGGCACTTTTTATTCCATCACCTGTGGTACACAGGTACAGGCAGAATCAGCCATGGTCCCTTCTGCAAAATTGCACTACGCCATAAGCAGGAGTGCTACGAGACCTAGGCTGACGCATTGACGTCTCGCGATGCAAATACCAGCGCTCTTATAAAGAAGTATAATTCCTCCTCTAGGTCCTACAAAAGGGTTATTGCCAAGGCAAATTCAGAGCACATCGGCAGAATTGGCGGGAAACTAGTTCAACTTCCTTCGGGAACACGTACATTCTGAACTTCTGTCAACCATCTCTCCCATCTCTGCACAGGGACGACGACTCACTGGCCCATGCCGCAAAGGGCAAAGCCGATCTGCTGGGCTCTCTCTTTGCGTCCAACTCGACTCTTGATGACGGGGGAACACACCGCCGATCATCCCATGGTGTGAGTGTTCTATGCAGGATGTGCTTTTTACCCAGCGTTCGGTGCACAGAGCACTCCCTCCCTGGAGGTCAACAAGTTAAATGGGCCTGATAGCATCCCTCGTATTGTGCAGAAGACGTGTGCTCCGGAGTTGGCACCGATTTTATTCAAAATATTTTATTTCTTAGACGTGCTGGTTTTCTCACAATGATTTCCGTCACCGTCAACGACGTGGTAAATTATTACTTAGTTAAAATTGCAATTAAAATTTTCATTGATTTTTGTAGATCAAACCCGGGAACATTTCCAGCAAACACTTAGCCTCTGAGTTACCTAAAGTAAATAGTTGTATTGTAGAACAATATGATAATTTACATTTTGGATCGAATGTTTTTATTTGACACACCTGACGACAGACTTCAAGTCCTCTCTCAACACCTAATCAAAATGTTTGAGCCACGTTACAGTTACATTAAGTTTGCAGCATGCATTGGTTGGCTTGATCAGGGTAGGACCATATTAACACAATATAAACGTTACGATATTATATTTTCTGTAAGCCAAGAGCTTTTTTGAATTAAATAAATAAATACCTAAGCAGAAGCTTTCTGTCGTTTCGTATAGTGAAAAAATGACGAAAACTTAAGAACAATAATAAAATAAGACATTTTTTGTGGGTGAAATAATTAGAGGAGTGAAATAATTAGGACTGTGCTATGGACCAACGTAAAAAAGCAGCATGATGCTGCTGTGGTTCGTGAGGTTTCGTGCGGATTCTTTTTATGGTAACGAGTATTACATGACACTTAAGGCTTACCTATAGCTGCATTTTAATTCTCAATCGAGGATAGAAGAAAGTGTCTGTCTATGAGCCATAAAATCTATTTACCATTAGGTGAATTGTGTGCTCGTTTTTCTTCTCTAACCAATTTTGTGAATTAAAACGGGAAATTGGTGTTCATTATTTTAGGTCACATCTTATGTTAGGTTGGATTTGGTGAAAAACATCAAACAAAGTAAAGTAGACCAAAGACATAGCCATAATTGAGTCACCGACAGAAGATTATATTATATAAGGGGTGTATGAAGGGGACCTATATATTTTAATAAAGGCTGACTATGGCGTGAGTATTATTAAAGACTCAAAGCAGCAAAATATTGATGTGAAACATTTGTTTACCTACTATTCGTTTGTTTTTATAGGTAGCTTCGAACATAATATACTTTATATGAAATCTTGGAAAACCTCTGTGTCTAAATCAGTTGGTTGCAAAGACTTTTTTGTTGTACACAATCAGCCAGGAGACGTCGTCGTTGCATAATAAAATTGAAATGGATGATTTATGCAGTTCATTTTATGTAAATTTTTAATTTTATAGAAATAAATATGCAGTTACTTCTCTTGTAATCCTTCCAGTTCTTCATCCTGTTCGCCGAGTGTTGAGTCTAGGTCTAAATATGCGCCGTAGTCGCCGTCCTTGAACACCTGCAGCGTGACGTCATCCAGCTGGAAACAAAAACAATTTTGATCAATTTGTTTGTATTATATATTAATAAATAAATAATAAGTAAATAGTATTGTAAAGTAGGGGCAGCGTTAGAGAACCCACTACATCACATAATCTCGTGGATTGTGGGTGTCGTAACAGGTGACAAAGGGAAATAAAACAGGATAAGGCCAGCAGCATGTTCCTGATAACAATTCAAAAATAGTTGAAAAAACTGTGGTTATCAACACGTCTGCAAAACGTGCCAACTATTCCCTTATACGAAGCAAGCCATGGGTAGGCCTAAGTTTAGCAGAATGGCAGTAAATGAATTAAAAAAAAAGTAGTAGGTAAACGCCATCTTTTTGAATGTTTAGTATCTAGTATTTATATGTTGGAGTTGCTAATAATAACGACAGATGGCACAGAATTATATCCACTGTATTAGCGTTTAGCGATATAAACCGTTATAAAAAATAATCTATTCATCATTCGTAAACTTACATAGATTTCATACACACACCTAGCAAAATACAATGGATGGTAGCTAGCTGCGTAAAAACCGTTTCTGTATCTTCCCATAACAATAATTGTTGATTTAATTTACTTGCAAACTAAAGTTAAGTAATATGCTTAGATTTATTACTCTCCTGCGTATGTTCATACTTCATAATATGTAACTATAACTTTTGATTGGAGACAAGTTTATACTTAATCGTAATTGTCTGATATAACAGAATTTGGTCGCCAATAATTTAAATTGTATAAGTTTTAATCTAATATAAGCAAATGTAATATAAATTATTAAAACTGCCATGGGCCATCTATCGGTGGTCAGCTATAAAAAGTTAGTCCTGCGAGTCGCCAGGCATTACGCTAAGGGCGTTTTATTTTCGACGTTAAAATAGCGACGCAATGGGGGTTAATAATCTTCCACTCATCAGATGTCGCTAGTTGACATAGGTTAAGTTTTTTGTTACAATATGTCGTTTAATTGAGAAGTTATTTATAAATTGAAGTTTATCAGTTTCTAGAGTATTAATATTACCCAAAACAGTGCTCAGTGGTTTGCTCCTTAATTTTTTGCACATTTTTAACTCTTTTTTTAATATTTTACACATATGAAAATTTGTGCTTTGGTAAATTTTTTTTTGCCGTATAGTGGCGGTTAAGAATATCCACTACCCCATATCTTCCCGTGGTTGTCATAAAAGGCGACAGACAGAGGGAGGCAGGCAGGAGATGGGCAGCAGCATCTTCCTAGACGAGATGCTGGTAGACGAAGTGTAGGCGACCGCCCACTAGATGGAGTGAAGCCCTGGTGAGACATGCAGGAAGTCGATGGATGCAGGTAGCTCAGGACCGTGCTTTGTGGCATTACTTGAGGGAGGCCTATGTTCAGCATTTGACTTGTGAAGGGCTGTATGATGCATGATGATGATAATTAATTTTGAATATAACTAATATAAAATATAATAAATAGTACGGAAATAAACATTTTTCGCCCAAATTAACCTCCCCACTATGAAATCTGTCAAATGTTACACCTCACTTTTTGGTGGAGCCGCCCTGGTGGCCAAAAAAGTTGTGGATGCTCTCATTGCCCCGTTGAAATCTTACCAACATCCTAACGCGTAATATTCCTTGATTTTCCGACATTATTTAGTGCGTCACGTAACTACTTATTATTTGTTATTCTTACGATTAGGTACACGCATTTGTATATAATAGGAAATCATTACCTTAAAGATTATTTACCTCCTGCAAAAATATTTTTTCAGTAGTCCTACGAATTTTTAAAAGATATTTATTTATTATTTAGAAAACAGTAACCTCGGCAGTGAGATTTTCTCTGATGGTGGGGACGTTAGTGTAGTGTAAACTGAGCTACTGTTTTATAACAGTGTTTTGTGTGACACTATTTTGTAGTGTTCGACCGAAGCGATTTTCGAAGCCGAAAGTATAGCCGAAGGTAGTTTTTTGTGGCTGAAGATGGTGAACTCCGATGCCGAAGTCGAAGCTTCGGTCGGACACTAATTGTTTGATGTTTCGAGTCCGATGTGGAGGAGAAGTCTGCATCGGCTCAGTATGCCGAGCGTGTGTTGAATCGCTGCCATATCAAGCGATCAAGAAACCGTCAGACCGGTTATCCACGATGATAGGCTAAATTAACAAGTTAAGAAATCAGATTACTAATGAATAGCTGAAAACATGTCGTCTGTTTTTCAACGTTCCGTGTACTACAACACGTTTAATAATTGGTTTGTAACGAGTCAACTGACAAAGTTACTGGTAACTTTTTCTTTTTCGCGACGTGACGTGCTAGTCATGCTTTCTCATATAGATTAATATCACCTTCGTCTAAGTGTTAAAAAAGCGTCCTTGTCTGAAATTTGAAATGGAAGTTTGATGCGACGATTTTGGGAAATAATTGAAATGATAAAGAAAATGTTAGGAAATAATTGAAAATTTAATTAAGTATAACACGAATAACAACCAGATTCTTGGGAAATGCTCTCCTGCTAGAACTAGTAGTGTAATGCACCCAGAAGGGTGTTTCGCGTACGTAGATGAAGTGAGAAAGTGATTTAATCGCCAAATAATGGATGCAGTTATTGATGTTGAAGAAAGATTTCGAGCAAATGTAGCAGCACTTTGCTAATTATATCGCATTTATCTCTTAATTGCTATTTTGGGGAATGGATTTGAGCAGTTGTTCGTTACAACTTCAACCGAGTATAAGAGACTGAATGTATCTATTGTATAATTTATCTTCGTTTTCAATCGATCGTCATCTCAATTAGGTTAAAATTGCAAATAATAAGTTATAATAAGTCTTACGTTGTATTATATAAAAGCCTTTATATTTTTCTAGGTTGACTGACGAATAAATATATTTTTGTTTATATTTAATTATTACGTAATTCTTAAACATAAAAATGTCGATTCTAGTTTTATTATTCATCCCTTAAATGTTAAAATCACATTTAACAAAACATTCGTATGGTAGAAAGGGTTAAAATGTTACCAATGTGTATTTTTATACATATTATTGGCCAGAGCTCGACTACAATTCTACCTGACGGTAAGCGATGACGATGCTATAGATATTAAATCACACTATATTAGCGTGACAAAAGCCTTTCACCCTGACCTTTTAGACACCTAGATCGTAATCGGATGAAAAACAGACGCACGCAAATTATTCCATTCCCTTGCGTAAGGCATTATAAAGGATGAAGCAAATACGTAGATAGTTTACAAACAAGGCGTTATATAAAAAAAAACACATTATAGATTTTTACCATCTGTTACTGTTGTGTGTATACTGTCTATTGTGAAAAGTCAGAATGTGTCAAAAAAGGCACGTATGGCAATTCACAGTGCCGTATTAGTCCCTACTTTAACGTATGGTAGTGAAAGTTGCGTGTGGCAGAAGAAGCACGAGAGTAGAATAAATGCAGTAGAAATGCGGTCGCTAAGGAGTATGTTAGGGCTGAATCAGAGTGACAGGGTGAGAAACTGTGTGATAAAAGAAGAGTGTGGTTTGCAAGATGATGCGGTGACCAGGATTAAGAAAGGAATGCTTCGGTTGTTTGGTCATGTAGAAAGAATGAATGCGGAAAGACTGACAAAGCAAATATATGTTGCAGAAGTGAATGGAAGAGTCGGAAAGGGACGTCCTAGGCGGAAGTTTGTCGACCAAATTGGCGATGAAAATGGGCCAAATTAAGAGTACCCTTAACCGACGAGCATGTATGTGTAGGTATATGGATGTGGAAGAGGCGAGAAAGGTATGTCAGGATCGTGCTAAATGGAAGTCTGTAGTCTCTGCCATAATTAATATAATATTGCACATAAAATTACTTACATTTTAAACTGTTGTTAAAATAGCAGACTCAAGTTTCATCATATAGATTGTGGCGTTTGAGTTTCACCCCATTTTGTTCAGTGCAAAAATATTCAAACTTTATGTTCTTGTGTAAACCCTTTATGAATTATGAATTTTTTTTATGGTTTCGAATAGATGGCTGTATAACAATCTTGTTTAAGATCATACATTTAACACGTAGTAGTGTCATGCTGCAGTTATATTTTGGTTGTAAGTTGTAACACTGTGTTTTTTGTATGGTGAACGTAGACGACCGGTGACCACTTTTACTGGAAACGAGGCATCCTATCTTAGTCCTCTGAGGTGTCAACGCAGCTGCATTTTGATTCTTATATATTACATATCGAGAATAGGTGTAGATGTCTATAGGCAACAGCATCCACTTACCATCGTGTGGACTGTGTGCTCGTTCTTCACACTTATGCTATAAAAAATACGTAAAATAACCCGATCGGCGGCTCGGCTATTCCGCCAAGAAACCGTGACGTAAGTCTATGTCCAGTAGTGGATAATTATAGGCTAATAAAGAATACAAAAACAATTTTATATGTTTGGAGGCGGTCTTGCGCAGCTCTTAAGCAATCGCCACACTTGATGAGCCATCGATGCTCGGGACGCAATGCACCTGCGTGTACTTGGCATTTTGCCTACGTAGATAGTGGCTGCTATGTATAGGGTATTGTCGTAAACTGGAGCATAGCTTGGAAATAGAGTCTTCAGTTGCTTTTATTTTTGTATTTCTTGTGATCTTATCTCTTAATTTTACATAATATTAATTAAAGTTATAGATAAAAGAAAATTCTTGTTGCAAATATGTCAGATATTTTTATTGCATTCCACAATTAAAGTTAGACAAAAGGGTGAAAATACAATAAGTCCTATCCGAATTTTGTGAAATATCCTTTTTTAACGGAAAATTATGCCGTCGATTGGTGCGGATTACTCATAAAAACGTTAAAAGCGTAATTTAAATTGGGGGCCAAATATTTATTTTATTTATATTTGTATATATATATATTTATATTTGTATATATATATTTCAATTGTTCATCTCAGTCAAATTCAGACTGGAAGTAACGAGTCCTTTGTAAGCTCTTTTGAACTGTTTTGAATTATACTGTGACACGT